GTATATATATATATATATATATACGATCGATAAATATTATGTAATCAGTGGTGCAACATCTGTAACTTCTTGGGCACCCACGTGATTTTGATGGTGATTTTAGAAGGCGGAAGAGGTGTAGAACGCAAGGCTCTTTAACTCTGTATAGAAGGGAAATGCTGTATAAAGACTTTCAGAATACTAAATCTAGAAGCTGTGGCACTGACACCTTTGAGAAAATATCAGGGTTGTCATATCAACCATCTGTATACTGTGGCTTGCTCTTCTTGCTGTTTTTTGCAGGATGCTCATACCTTGAATATCTGCAGTAGCAGGTCAAGCCAGGCTCGTGTTGCGACAGAATGGTAGACTGTGCAAGCGATGGGTGGCACACTCTGGTGGTTGTTGTTCGCCCACGTGTGGTACTGTGTGTGTGAGAGTAGGTGTTGGGGCTGTACCCCACTCACACGAGCCCCCTGTACACTGTAACATGATGCATATGTGATAAGTACAGAATGTTATGCAATTATACATCCATCCATCCATACATCCTGCTATGCCTCGATCCATCCAGCCACCCACCCACATAAATACATTCGTTCATTTCTCCAGCCATTCCTCCACCCACACTTCTTCCTTCTTACTACCCACTCATGCATCCATCCAACCACCCATCGCTTCATCCATCAATTAACCACGGCTCATCTGCAGACAACTCAGGTGTCTGTACACACACACAAACATGAATACACACACACTCAGTATGTGTCAGTGAGTAAGTGAGTGAGTAAGGGAGTGAGTGAGTGAGGGAGTGAGTGAAAGAGAGAGAGAGAGAGAGAGAGAGAGAGAGCGCCTGTTAGAGATCGAGAAAAAAACATCGGGAGACTGACGGCCAGGCAAATCGACGAGTTTGCCGTTCAGGCGTCGGTTACGCGTACCTCACGCTTTTTATTTGGTTTTCTGATAGCATATCACGTCGTCTGTCAGAGTGCATACAGCAAACGCATATGGCCTTTCCAACTGCAACGTACGCAACGTAACAGACGTCGGATGTGGCGACACCATTTACTGCCGTACTTGTGCCCTAGCCCATTACGGACGATCTTTTGAGCAATGACTTCACGTGGAATATAACATTTTGCGTCTATTTTTTTGTATTTGTATGTCAAATTTATTGTCGTGGCTGGCATTTGAAGTATATTTAATCCTAAATGAACGATAATTACTTAGGAAAATCATATGTTTGTGATTCGTTCTTTTTTTGCATTTGCGTGCTAGTACTAAGTTACGATTCGCAGGTAAACAATAGGCCACTGTGTGAGGAAAACCATAACTGGGTCGACGGCGACCATGCTCGTTCGGCTGGGCTAGGAAATCGGAGAACAGAAGAAATCGCCGTCGTTGAGTAACTGTAGAAACGCATAAGATGAGCTTTCTTTGAATAGAAGTACCATGCACTGCAATGCGATTAAGATATATGCGATTAAGAGTCGATCGATGTGGGATTGTACGCGCATATCGTAGCACCTATATCTCCAGATATTTTCGGCGAATTCGAAATGGAACTTCAAAACGAGAATTGAGAATCGTCTGTGCGACGCGATCACCACCACCGGCAGAGATTATCGGTCTTTTGTGCGACGTAAGTGAGGTATATGCAGTTAGCGGCATTAGAAATGTGCCAAATTGAGAAGTTTGATCAGCTGGTGACGCGCGCCCGCTCAGCCATCGGCGAACGTAATTAATCCATGCATTTCCTGCACAAACAAATGTACGCACGGCTTTGGGTGCGCTTGCGTACGCGCACATGTATGTGTGCACATATATTACATACATGTACGCATGTATAATGTATACAAGTGTGCACATTTATTAGAATTCACCGTTATCAAAAATGGCATATTTGTATAATTGAATTCGTACTCGCATATCGCACCCCCTAATGAGATGAGTGAGTTATAAACACGTTTAGAAGTAAACTAGCAAGGGATGAAAGAAAAGAAAACGGCATTTCCATTGCGCACCCCTAGTCGTTATGAGAAAAACTCTACAAACATAATTATAGATGGTCGCGTGGGATATATAATTTATTGACCTAATAAAAAATTTCAAACTATGATTTTTTGCGCCGTGACTTCTCAGTAACCCAGGCATGCACCCATAGAGAGGCAATATATTTATTTAATTGCTAATAATAGAACTGGTATCAATTATCTAAGAGCATATGTCAAAATCCCCCCCCCCACCTGAATATTTGTTTTATCAGTGGTATCTATGCCAGAACTCATGTGTGTCACATTATATGCTAAGGCGTCGATTATTTGGAACATTTGATTCATGATTGCATAGTAAAAATAGACACGCGACTAGGACAGCCAACAGATATATACTCGTGCATACATATATCCGCTACTATTTCCGTCTTCAGCAGCTAAACGCAACGTAGAATCTTCGAATTATTATCTGATTTCTAAATCTTATACCTTCTGCGTCTAGATGAAAATAACGCTACTTCGTAAAGCTTAAACTCATCGGCAGAATTTGTGTGTTTTATATGTGTACAATTAACAGCTCGATCGTTAGTTACCGTAATGCACGCACACAAATGTTCATACAAACATGCACTGACTGTGCCCATCATTTGCATTGACTGACATCCCTGCCTGCGAGTCTGTCTATATACAACGCACACAAGGCTTCGCTGCTGCTGTACCTCTCTCAGTATACGTGTGCGT